TCTCGCTCTCCCTCGCTCTCTCCCGCTCTCTCTCTCTCTCTCTCTCTCTCTGCTCTCTCTCTCTCTCTCTCTCTCGTCTCTCGCTCTCTCTCTCTCTCTCTCTCTCTCTCTCTCTCTCTCTCTCTCTCTCTCTCTCTCTCTCTCTCTTCCTCTCTTCTCTTCTCTTCTCTTCGCTACTCTTCTCCTCTCTCTCTCTCTCTCTCTCTCCTTTCTTTCTCTCTCTCATCTCTCTCTCCTCTCTCTCTCCGCTATTCTCTCTCTCTCTCTTCTCTCTCTCTCTCTCTTCTCGTCTCCTCCCCCCCCCCCCTCTCTCTCTCACCACTTTCTCTTCTCTTCTCTCTCTCTTCTCTCTCTCTCTCCTCTCTCTCTCTTCTCTCTCTCTCTCTTCACGTCTTCTTCTTTCTCTCTCTCCTCTCACTCTCCTATCCTACTCGTCACACACTTCCAGTCTCCTCAATCTATCTCCTCTCTCTCTCTTCTCTCTTTCTCATTTTCTCTCTCTTCTTTCTTCTCTCTCTTTCGTTACTTCGTCTCTGCCTCTTCATCTCTCTCTCTCTCTCTCTCTCTTCTCTTCTTCTCTCTCTCTTCTCTCTCTCTCTCTCTTCTTCTCTTCTCTCTTTCTCTCGACTGTCTCCTCTTCAACTCCTCTCTCGCTCTCTCTTCTCTCTCTGTCCTCTCTCTCCTCGCTCTCTCTGTCTCTTCTCCCTCTCTCTCTCTCTTATCTTTATCTCTCTCTTCTCTCTCTCTCTCTCTTGATCTCTCTCCTCTCACTCTCTCTTTTTCTCCTCCTTTCTTCTCTCGCTCTCTCTCTCTCTCTCTCTCTTCCTCTCTCCCTCTCTCTCTCCTCTCTCTCTCCTCTCTTCTCTCTTTCCTCGCTCTTCTGTCATCACTGCTAGTCCCCCCTCTCTCGCTCTCTCGCTGTCTCTCGCTCTCTCTCTCTCTCTCTCTCTCTCTCTCTCGCTCGCTCGCTCGCTCGCTCTCTCTCTCTCTCTCTCTCTCTCTCTCTCTCTCTCTCTCTCGCTCGCGCTCGCGCTCGCGCTCGCGCTCGCGCTCGCGCTCGCGCTCGCGCGCTCTCTCTCTCTCTCTCTCTCTCTCTCTCGCTCTCTCCCGCTCTCTCTCTCTCTCTCTCTCTCTCTCTCTCTCGCTCTCTCTCTCTCTCTCTCTCTCTCTCTCTCTCTCTCTCTCTCTCTCTCTCTCTCTCTCTCTCTCTCTCTCTCTCTCTCTCTCTCTCTCTCTCTCTCTCTCTCTCTCTCTCTCTCTCTCTCTCTCTCTCTCTCTCTCTCTCTCCTCTCTGCTCTCTTCGCTACTGGCTTCTGACGGAGTCTGGGTTAGGTGAGCCTGAGTGTGGGTGAGTCTGAGTATGGGTACGTCTGTGTGTGCCTGACTCTGAAGAAATGAATCTGAGTGTGAGTGAGCTTGTGTATGAGTGAGTCTGGGTGCGAGTCTGAATCCCAATGGTGCCCCTGGCAGTGTCTGGCGACTAGGAGGCCCGGGTCGACTCCTCTTTGGGAAGCCAAAATGCTGCCCCTGGCAGCGTTTGGTGACTATGAAGCCCCTGGTGGACCCCCCCTGGGGCTCCCAAATGATGCCCCTGGCAGCGTTTTGTGACCATGAGGCTCTCAAGAGATACATGTTGGGGACGCCAAACGGCAATTCTAGCTGAGGCGTCCCACCAAAATCGGCGCGAACGGGCTCGTGAGATCAGCCAGGGTGGCTCCCCCTTGGGGCTCCCAAATGATGCCCCTGGCAGCGTTTTGTGACCATGAGGCTCTCAAGAGAGACATGTTGGGGAGGCCAAACGGCAATTTTAGCTGAGACGTCCCACCAAAATCGGCGCGAACGGGCTCGTGATATCAGCCAGGGTGGCTCCCCCTTGGGGCTCCCAAATGATGCCCCTGGCAGCGTTTTGTGACCATGAGGCTCTCAAGAGAGACATGTTGGGGAGGCCAAACGGCAATTTTAGCTGAGACGTCCCACCAAAATCGGCGCGAACGGGCTCGTGAGATCAGCCAGGGTGGCTCCCCCTTGGGGCTCCCAAATGATGCCCCTGGCAGCGTTTTGTGACCATGAGGCTCTCAAGAGAGACATGTTGGGGAGGCCAAACGGCAATTTTAGCTGAGACGTCCCACCAAAATCGGCGCGAACGGGCTCGTGAGATCAGCCAGGGTGGCTCCCCCTTGGGGCTCCCAAATGATGCCCCTGGCAGCGTTTTGTGATCATGAGGCTCTCAAGAGAGACATGTTGGGGAGGCCAAACGGCAATTTTAGCTGAGACGTCCCACCAAAATCGGCGCGAACGGGCTCGTGATATCAGCCAGGGTGGCTCCCCCTTGGGGCTCCCAAATGATGCCCCTGGCAGCGTTTTGTGATCATGAGAGAGTGTGAGTGAAATCTCTTATCTTGTCTTAGCTTATCTTATATCAACTCATCTTATCGCATCATATCTTGTCTTATCTTATTACTCCATAGGCTGTCTTATCTTATCTATTATCCTACCTTGTCATATATCTTATCTTACCTTATCATATCTTGTGCTATCTTATCTTATCTTGTAGTATCTTATCTTGTCTTGTCTTATCTGGTGATTATCATTGGGAGGAGGGAGGCGCGAGCGGGAGGAAGGAGGAGCAGTGGGAGGCGTCAGAGTAATAACAAGAACCCCAATCCTTAGGATATGGGGAAAAACATCAATCATAATGTGGTGAGTCGGGTTATGACGCTTCTCTTGCGGTTCCATCCGGGGTCGGTGTACCCGTCAATTTCTCAAACCTTGTCATGACCTGATCAAAACATGCTTGATGTTGGTGGACTTTAGACGCTGGATGATACTCGAAAGTGCTGATCCAGTTATATCGTGTATATTCAGTGCAGTGCCTTCTGCCTCATAATAGTGAAATCCTGGATTCACATCGTTGTCGTAATGGACCCATGTGCAGCTGTCAGCACAAGTAACCGGAGGTAGCTTATGAATACGCTCAGCTAACCGGACTGAAACAACATTCTCAATGCGGAAGAAGTTTCTTATAGGGTACTGTAAGGCTAGGTGTACCTTAGGAGATAGACGACTTGCACTCGACATCTGAAGCGTCCCTTTCTTGGTCGGCACAAAGCCAAAGGTCATAGCAGGTCTCGCCGCTGGCAATTTGGCCACAAATGCCAACACTGTCCGTAGCGCAGCGCTGTCGGAGCCAATTTCTCGGGCTATCAGTGCTTCAATATAGAGTGAATGCCGTGCATCGCCGCATTGTACTTGAACATTTCGATTGCCCAGTCGGATGATGACTTGACCCCTTTCGGGATCGTTTTTTACAACTGGGAATGGGCCATTCCAGCCTCCCCAGTCGTCCTTAGCGGTGGTGGGGCGATGGTAATCGACCAAGTCTCCTTCATCGTAATAACGCTGACCGGTAACAATTGTCTTAGTACAACAGGAGAAGGATAGGCGCGGAGGGGCGAGGAGGCCACGGGCGGCAGAGCACGCTCAGATCGTGAAGATTTCGTACGCGCGTACCTGTGCACAGGCTTACAGTCGGGGCGTTGACCTAAGGAACCCAAAATAAGGAGCGAGGTCCCTTTTTTCCATAAATTCAACTTCGATTTCCGATCGAAAACCTAAGAACAACCCAAGGCAAGCTGTAAAACACTTACGGAATACGGATCCCCTCCCCAACGAAAAAGGTTCCTTCTTCAGGGCCCCGACTGTACACGGAGCAAGCTGGGAGTGGCAAAGCGAACCTGCGCACCAGGGTCACCCGCAGGACACAACAATGTGCAACACCAATGATGGTTGCGCATGCGCTACGGCACGCACTGATCATGACCGTGCCGATTCGGCATGTGGTAGCTTTGGCCGCCTTCGGTGTTTTCCCCGCCCATGTGGTCGAGGGCAGAGAACATCTTCTCAGGCCGTGCACCGCAGGAGCAGTGGGCCAGTGGGCCAAGACAAGGCCTGCTGCTAGGCTGGGTGTCTGTCTGGGAAACATCCCTGCCGCCCGGGGGATCGTCGAGTGAGACGTCGGCAGGCGGTGCTTATTGAAGCAATTCGTCCCCTAGGGGGCCGAACATAACAATACCCATATCCACCCCCCGCCGATGTCCCCGAAGAGGCTCCCAAGAGGCCCCAAACTTCCTCCCCAGAGGCCCCCGAGAGCCGTCCGAAGAGACCCCACGAAGCATCCCTGAGGACTCTGGCCCATTCGGCGGCGAGCGAGGGGGGAAAATGAGAAAGAGACGGCCTTCTCAGAAGGCTCTGAAGTCCCTCGGGCCTTCTGAGAAGTTCTCTTAGCCTTCCCCGACGAGACAGAACACTTCTCAAAGGCGCGAGGGCTTCTGAGGAGTTCTGCCGCCTTCTGAGAAGGCCTTCTCCTTCTCACTCCCCGCCCTCGCTCGCCGCCGAAATATACCCACATCCACCGCCCGCAGACGTCCCCGAAGATCGATCCCCCATGCGGCGGGTATGAACAAATCCCTAGCCCCACAGATCCCTGGCGGAGACCGCCTCCTGGCCTGGCCAGCGCCCAGTGCCCACCCAAGGACCCCGAGACTCCGACGAGCTGTTTCGTGTCCATCCGGGAGTTTCCCCTCGATTGCTTCCTCTGGGCATGGCTCGATCGACGGAGTGTTGCCCGTCTTCGTCTTGTGCTGCGAAACGAAATCAAAATTAAAACGGCCCACGAAATCGCCCAATTATATCGTTTAGCTCGAGCCCTGCCTCCAGGCACGTCAGTGGGCCCTATAGGGCCATCAAACATGAATCCGGGGGCGCAAAACCACTCCTGGGGAAGCGGTCGGGACCTCTGGGGCCGTGGATTGGAACACCCGTCTCGGCGGATGTCTGCAGGGTCGCAGACCAGGAGGACGAGGACGAGGACGAGGACGAGGACGACGACAGCGGCGACGACGACGGCGAGGACGGCGAAGACGAGCACGAGGGTGCCGACGGACGTTGACCGACGGCGCTCCTGGACCTCGACTGGCGGGGCTCACCCTGCAGCCTCGCGCTCAGTCGTCTCTGCCTGGCGCGCCCAGGGGGGCCCCCCTCCCCCCGTGCCGCCGCTCGGCAGTTCAACCCGGAGGGATGGGGTCCTGAGGGTAGGAAGGGATACAGGGGTGGATCTACATTGTGACATCCGCCAATCTGATTTTTCAATCCGCGGCCCCACAGGTCCCGACCCCTCCCCCAGGGGTGTTTTGTTCGTCCTGGATACATTTTTGCATTTTTGATGACTCACCGGGCCCGACAACGGGCCCCAGAGGCCGAAATCCAGGAAAACACGCCGGCTCGAAGAAATTAGATCCTCAGCGGGCGGCACTTCGTCCTTAGGGCCCCGTCTTTCCAGACCGTTTCGTTGAACCACCGAGCCGCGCGGGCGTGCCGGGCGGAGGCCGCGGTGAGGCCGCGCGGTGTGTGGCGGGCGCGCAGAGGCAAGAGGCACAACCGCGAGGGAAGCGGGAAGGGCGGGGGGTACTGTCGCCGTCGTCGGCGCCGCTGCCGCTGTCGTCGTCGTAGCCGCCGCCGCCGCCATCGCAGTCGTCATCGCCGTCGTCGTCGTCGTCGCCATCGCTCCTTCCGGGCCCTGCCCTCCTGTTCCTACGCGCAGCTACGAAGCGCCCCACAGTCCTGCAGGCGCGCTCGCCGCGCGCGGCGCGTGCGCCCACCGCCCGCGGGCTCCGAGCCCACGCCCGAGCTCGCCGATTGCCGCGAGGGGGGGGGGAGGGAGGCCGACCATCCCACGCGCTCTCCACCACCTCACTTCCTCGCACCACCGCGGTCACATCATAGGCACGAGCACGAGCTTGAGCACGAGCACGAGCACGAGCACAGGAGCGGACCAGAGCATCGCGGTGGCCATGAGCATGATGTACTCGTGAGGCCTAACATGCGCATTCGCACACGAGTGAAGATGGATCCGGAAGGATCGGATCGGCTCGACGGGAAGAAGCGTCGTGCCCCGCAGCGCCTTCTGGGCCCCCCTCTGGGGGACCGCAAAGAGAGAGCTCTCTGCCCAAAAGCCAGCTATGGCAATATCTACACTGCGCCCTGCCCGGCAGTCAAAAACCACCCAGGTCCCCACTTTCCAACCCGATCCGGGAGTGGGGAACAAGGGCACACAGGGGGGGGCCAGGAGGAGCAGCAGAAAGAGCAGCAGGGTGGGGAGGATGAGAGGGAGCAGCAACAACAGGAGGAGAAGACAAAGAAGATAAGGCCCAGAAGCAGGTGAGAAAAGAGGGGGAGAGGCATGGAGAGAAGAATTCGGAGGAGCCGCCGCAGCAGCAGGATAATTACGACCAGCAACAATTGCAGAATGGAGAAGAATGGGGGATGGAATGAGGAAAAGAAGGGGAGCTTAGAAAAGATGGCGACGACGACGACGACAACGTACGCGACGACGACGCCGCCGCCGCCGCCGCCGACGACGACGACGATGACGACGACGACGACGACGACGACGACGACGACGACGACGACGACGACGACTACGTATGCGACGACGACGACGACGTACACGACAACGATCACGACGGCGACCAAAACGACGACCAAAACCAGGGCGGCCGCCGTCGCTGCAGGCGGCCGCCCTCCGGACTCCGCACTGCCGCTGGAGCTGCGCCGAGGGTCCGCAAAAGGAGGGCAGCCGCCGGGCGCCTCTCGTCGCGGCGCGGGTCCGCACGCCGCTCCTCCTCCGCGGGCTCCTTCGGCGAACCCGGATCTCGCGGCCTGACGGCGCCCACACCGCCGCCCGCTGGCCTCGCCGTCGCCATCGTCGTCGGCGCCGCCGTCGCCGCGGCCGGCGTCGCCGTCGTCCTCCGCCGCCTGTTGTCGTCGCTGTCGCGGTCGTCGTCGCTGGCGTCGGCCGCTTGCTGCTGGTGCTCCGCCGCCTCACTCTCCGCATTCCTGTCATCCCTCAGTGTGGGGTGGGTGGGGGAGGAGGCGACAGAGGGCCAAGGGTTCAAAGCAGAGCCAAAATGGCCAGCTCCAGGGTGCGAAGGCACGGCGTAGCAAATACCTTCTGCGAGGCAGACTGACAGGTGTGCCTTGACAACGGCAACATTTCACTGAACAGATGCGGTATGGAAGGGCGAACCTGCAAGACCGCCAACCCAATCGGCGTGTGAGAGAGGCTCTTCGACGCGAGGCCAGCCAAACCCAAAGAACAAATAAGAGTGATCGAACAATGTCGTAATACGCCCCTTCCCTTTGCCCCTTCCCCGCTGAGGAGGGAGGGGGTCCTGGGGGGGGGCACCGGGAAAACGGGGGAGGGGAGGGGGTCCCGTGCGGGGGAGGGGAGAGCCCCGGTGGTCGTGGGCCCCGGGGCGGTCCCCGCTGTGGAGAAGGAGAACAGGGGAGTGGTCTCTCTGTTGGCAGTGGAGCACGAGCACCCCTCCCTCGCCTCGGCCCCGGCCATGGCCCCGGCCCCGGCCCCGGCCCTGGCCCCGACCCCAGCCCCAGCCCCGGCCCGGGTCCCGGCCACGGCACTTGAGCATGGACCGACAGTCACGGCATTCCCATAGGCCTACCACGAGACAAACTTAGACCCCCCCAAACATTCTAAGAACGAACAAATTCTTAGAGCATAAACCTGATGCGTTAAACAAGACAATATAGTCCAGTAATGTTATGATAACATTTCGTGCAGACCACAAAAGGTTTTGTTAACAGCATTGGTCGTTATATGTATGGGTATATTGATGTGCACATGTATTGCTATAGTTCTCTTTGTCTGCCTATTTTCTTTACATATAAATGTTGCTCTTGATAGTTATCCTTCTCTGTCTCGCTCTCGTTATCGTTCTCTTTCTCTGTCTCTTTCTCCTCCTTCTCCTCCTCCTCCTCCTGCTCCTCTCCCTCCTTCTTCTCCTCCTCCTCCTCCTGCTCCAGCGCTCCTCCTGCGCTCCTCCTGCGCTCCTCCTGCGCTCCTCCTGCGCTCCTCCTCCTCCTCCTCCTCCTCCTCCTCCTCCTCCTCCTCCCCCTCCTCCTCCTCCCCCTCCCCCTCCCCCTCCCCCTCTCCCTCCACCTCCTCCGCCTCCTCCTCCCCCTTCTCGCCCGCCCCATGTCCCGAGCCTGTGGCAGGGTCATCAGCTCGTCGATGTCGTCGTAGTCGTCGTGGTCGACGTCGGCGCTGTGGGTCGGCGGCACTGGCCGCAAGGCCCTTGCAATATACATTATCCCTACTTGGCCGACAACTCACCTTAGTGCGCGAGCGAGATTGCGAGAGCGAAGAACCACGCAGCTGCATACGCAGGAGCCTTTGTACTCGATGTTGTCGAGCAGCAACACTTTGTCGCGCTCCTCCGCGCACGGGCCGCTCTGGCCAGTACACAGTTGTTGCCTTCAAAAGAGCCCCCAAATGCGCTAATGCAGTACCCGGTGATGTACCCAACCTGTTCTAAACATATGGCGACTGGACCGAGAACTGCTCACTGCGGACAAACGAACCCGAAATGCGCATGAACACCTAGAAATGAAGTCAGAAGAGCACGGCAACGCGAATCCGGGAGCACGTACACCTCCACTCCGCTGGACCTCCCAGGAGCCTGCGAAAGTGGCGACAGCTGCGCACTGCCTCGCCCCCCATGGAGCCGCGAGGTCTCGGCGAGGTGGGCGTGGCACCCCACTCCGCCCCGCTTGCCAGGAGCCCACGGAGAAGGTGGCTGCTGCGCATCCCCGGAGCTCATGTATTAACAAATATGCCGCACCCCTTTCAGCCCCCAGGACCTCCCAGGAGCCCAAGAAGACAGAGAGGGAGAGAGAGTGAGAGGGAGGGGGGGGACGAATGACGGAGACGAGGCTAGGCCCGACACAGCTCTTGCTGTTTTGCCGCGGTCAAACCACGAGGCAAAATGAGAAGGGATGGGGGTGCCCATGACAGAAGGAACGCACCATCTTCTAACACCGCACACCCATCGCTCTGTCCCCCCCCCCTCCGCCCAAGCCGCAGCGGCTTGGGCGGAAGCTGGGCCCCTGGCCAGCTCACCAAGCCAAGCCTTGCATTCCGAGCAAAATGGCTCGGAGCATTCGGGGAACTCCTGTCTGCCAATTACGCTGAAAACGTCGGGGTGTTGGGGCGCAGAGGGCGGGCAGCGTACTACGCGTTCCTCCTCCTCCGCCAATATCATGATCTTCGGAATGGCCAGCACCCCCCCTCCTCCAGGGCGGGGTCCTGCTGAACGCAGGTCGCGCTATCCAGGGGCCTGGTCCACCTGGCTCACCCTGCAAGAATGGGAACTCCCCCTAAACAGCAAAATGGCCCAACATGAAGCCAGAAATAATCCAAACATAGGGCGGTGAATGGAGGACCCGTAGCTTCGCGGTGTCGGGCCACAGTGCGCAACAGCCCCGCAATCTGTCGGCAACGCCTGCGGTGCACACCCGAGCCCGAACTCACGCAGGGTTTGACATGTTGCCTTGTTCAGACATCCTGTTTATCCTCATTCCCCCACCCGCCGTCTCATCTGCTGGCAGGTAAAGCAGCGATGGACCCTAAGAAGTGCTGAGGGGCAGAGATTGGGAGGAGGAAAGTTGGAATTGGCTGATGGAGGGGTCAGCGACGGGGGAATGGGCGAGGAAGGCACTGCACTGGGCTAAAGACCCCTGCGCCGTTACGACAGGAAATACGTCACGCCTGCCAGTTGCATGCCTCACTCATTGTGCCACCCCTATATACCCAGACTTGTGCGTGAGCAACTCCGAAAAGCACGCGTCATGGACCCAGCCCTCACAAGACTGACAAGTGTGTGATGTTCTGCCTGTTGCGCGCATGATCCCGCACATGTAACATTTCGCCGTCACAACAGCACGTTTGGGCAAGAATGGAGACATGCGTGTGCAGACACTGTGGCAACGCACGCATAGAAAGGGATCATTGCAAACAGGCTGTCTCCCCAACAATGTAGCTGCCTCCTATTAGGAAGTTGGAACACGATCTGCTGCTGGCTCTGAACTGCCATCGAATCTGCCAAACTTGGAGATGCACTCGGTGTTCCCCTCAATATCTGCGACGCTTGCCTCGCAGTCATGTGATCCCGTTGCCTCCGACTCCAACAAGGCGTTTCCGCCCTCCTGGCCATCCTCCGAGAAAATGCCGAACAACACAGCAGAAACAGTGCCCGCTCCAGCCTTCGGCTGCGCTGTCGTACTCAATTCACTGCGCTTGATCATCAAAATCTCGAGGTGATCATGTCCGTCTGCTCCTTCCACGTCGGAATCGTCGTTGAAGGTGTAAGGCCCATCAACCTTGGCCTCGGCCCACTGCAGACGTGCCTCATCAGTGGTAAGGGGGCTCGACAGCGCACTGCATCGGCACTCGAACTCTGGGATGCGGTAGGTCACGTCCCTTTTCATTTTGGAATCAACCGTAGCGTTGGGCTGTAGTGCCGTGCTCGATTCACTGAATTTCTGCGGCGAAATCTCGAAGCTCCCCTGGCCGCCTCACCGTCCACCTCGGAGTCGAGAGGCTGTCTCGTGAATCTGGCACTCAGATCGTCGTAGACCACGTCGTCGGCGTTCTCCGTCCACGCCTCGTTGCTCGGGGAGTCGTGGGGCACATGCTGCACCGCAGGCTTGGCAAGGGCTTTGCATACTTGGGAATGTAGCCAGCCTGGCGGATGGGCTCTAGCACGTCGCTCATTACTCCAAAGGGCGAAACACGTTGATTAACCATGCTCTCCCCTCGATACCAAGCCTTTTGCGAATATCTCCGGACGATGCTCTCCCCGAGAGTCCCCAAGGACGGCTGGCTGCTTCCCTCATCAGCTGGCTGAACTCGCTGAGGTGCTGCTGAAGATTGTGATCCGCCTCCTCACCACAAAGATGGTGCATGATCTCAGCAACTTCGCGCGGATTGCATGCGTAGGCTACGCATCGTCCATGGCGAATGGGAACTCCCTGTTCCATGCCAGAGAGAGAAACACGATATCAGGATGGCACATGCCGTGCAGAGTGCACCTGCAGACCCCTCGAGTCCAAATGGCTACGGACTCCTCCTCCTCCCCCTCATCCTCCTCCTCTACCTTCTACCTCCTCCTCCTCCTCATCCTCCTCGTCATCCTCCTGTTTCATCTCCTGGTGCAGACTCGATCCGCATGATACCAGAGAAAAGCCAAATCAAAGCCTTGTTTGATCTTACATGAGATCCCTTTGTAAGTGCTCCTTAGGTTTATGAAGTCTGCGAGAGCCACGACGGCCATGAGGACTATGCAGTCGATCAAGGGCTATAGGGCTATAGGGGCATAGGGCTATATAGGGCTATGGGGTTATGGGGCTATAAGGCTATTGGGTTATATGGCTATATGGCTGTAGGGCGATAGAGCACCTGAGCACCCGGGCACCCGGGCACCCCTGGGCACCTCCGGGCACCCCCGGGCACCTCTGGGCACCCCAAGCACCCGGGCCAGTCACCGAAATCGGCGACGAGCCTCACCTAACCATATGAATCCGCTAGGACCCCTACAGAGGCAAGCTCTGATTGGGGAATACATAACTCCTGTATGTCGCACCTTCGGACGTGTTGGTAGGGCAGGCCAGGCGTTTCGTCCGAGACTTCCTCACGAGTCATGGCCCTGAAGCTTGAACGTTGCAATAGCCTAAAGGATGGAGGGGGTCGTGTTCAAAATGAAACTCTTGCCTTAGCGCCCCGCACGTCCATCTGAAAAAACCGCATCGGCTTCAAGGATGGAGGCGGAATCGTTTTCAAAATATGGTTCTCGCCACAACGTCTCGCGCATCAAATGTTTCCATTTGCTTCAAGGATTGAACACGGGTCGTTTTCGAAATATGGTTTCCGCCTCAGCATCCAGCACGGTCGCTTTAAAACTCTGCACCAACTTCATGGGTGGAGGGCGGATCCGTTCCGGAATGTGGCTCTCGCCCGAAGCGCCGCGAACACTCATCTTAAGAAACACCAGCTGTTTCTGGGATGGATGGCGATTCCTTTTCAAAATGGGGTGTTCGTGTGAAACATATGCTACGCGAACTCTAGAAACTAAAAGACATGCGGCAGCTATTTTTCCGAACGAGGGTTATCGCTTTCAAAATAAGGTCCCAAACGCACGGCGAGCACAATGATAGAAGTTCGCACAGCTTTGCATCACGCGTACTGCTCTGAGCCTCTCGTTCAGCGAGCTCTAGGTTATACAGTACACCTCGACGTGCATCCTCAAGCATCAACTTTAATATGAACCATGTCTAGATCACACCAGACATGCAATGTGGTACTGACCCTGTTGGCAAGCTCACCATCTCCACGAGGTAGCCTGTGACAGACGCATATTGCCTTTGCAAAACTTGCCTTGTACACAAGGTCATTGGTTCATTCGCCTGGGAACTTCAACTAAATCCATGACCGTGATTGCACACATGTGCAGAAAATACATAGAAAACTGGGATATCGTTGGAAACCTCACTGAACTGTATGACCATAGCGTTCCGCATTTCTTTTATCCCTCTGGACGGAGGCACGGCAGTTCCTTTAAAAAGCAGAAATCTCACCGGATTAGCGGCCCATGGTGAAGAGGAAGGCTTACCAGGTGGTCTGGAGATGGAACTCGTGACGGGAGGGTGTATTGCAGCATCTTCGATGTATCTTGTTGATGTAGCTTGGGCTTCACTCTCTTCCTCCTCCTCCTCCTCCTCCTGCTCATTCTCCTCCCCCTCCCACGTCTTCCCCTGCTCCTCCGTCGCTCTGTTACTCCTTCGCTCATCCACCTCCTCCTCCTCCTCCTCCTCGCCGCGAGGTCCTCGCCCGCCATCGCTCTCCCGCCTGTTCCCTCATCCTCCCTCCCGCCTGCTCCCAACTCCATCTGTCATTATACGTCATTCGTTGTTGCTTCCTGCTGTTGCTCCTCATTCGCTTCATGCCGTTGCTGCTGGTGCTGCTCGTTCTCCTCATCCTCCCCATGCATGTCCATGTCCTGCCCCCCCTCGTCACCGTCCTCCTCCTCCTTCTCATCGGCCTCCTCCTCGTCCTCCTCTGCCTCATCCCTATCATCAGCATCACCATCGTCACCATCATCATCACCACCACCACCAATACCATCGTCAATAATAACAACATCAGCAGCAGCATCATCATCCTCGTCCACATCATCATCATCATCATCATCATCATCATCATCATCATCATCATCATCATCATCATCATCATCATCATCATCATCATCATCAGCATCAGCATCATCATCATCATCATCATCATCAGCATCAGCATCATCATCATCAACATCATCAACATCATCATCAGCATCGGCACAACCGCTATCATCATCAGCATCATCATCAGATTCAGTATCAGTATCATCTTCCTCGTCACCATCATCACGATCATCAGCATCACCACCAACATCATCATAAGCAGCATCATCATCAGCCGCATCAGCCCAATCATCATACTCATCATCATCCTCCTGCTCCTCATTCTCCTCCCCCTCCCACGTCTTCCCCTGCTCCACCGTCGCTCTGTTACTCCTTCGCTCGTCCACCTCCTCCTCCTCGCCCGGCATCGCTCCCCCGCCTGCTCCCTCATCCTCCCTCCCGCCTGCTCCTTACCCCATCCGCCATTACACGTCATTCGGTGTTGATTCCTGCGGTTGCTCCTCATTCGCTCAATGCCGTTGCTGCTGGTGCTGATCGTTCTCATCCTCCTCCTCATGCATGCTCATGTCCTACTCCTCCTCGTCTCCGTCCTCCTCATCCTCCTCATCGGCCTCCTTCTCGTCCTCCACCTCGACCTCCTCCTCCTCACCATCACCACCATCATCATCACACAAACCACCATCAACACACAATTGCACCATCAACATCAGCATCATCACAACCACCGTCATCATGATCATCATGGTCATCATGATCAGCATCATCATCAGCAGCATCATCATCATCATCATCATCATCATCATCATCGTCATCACCATCAGCATCATCAGCATCGTCATCAGCATCAATTTCATCATCCTCATCAGCATTATCGTCAACAGCAGAATCATAATCATCAGTACCATCAGCAGCATCAGCATCACCACCATCAGCATCATCATCATAACTAGCAGCATCATCATCAGCCTCATCAGCCGCATCATTACACTCATCCTCATCCTCATCCTCAGCATCCCAATCAGCATCGCCATGCTCATCATCCAAATCGACATCATGGTCATACTTAGCATCAGCCTCATCAGCATCATCACCACCATAACCATGACCATCACCAGCACCACCATCATCACCACCACCAGCAGCATCACCATCATCATCACCACCACCTCTCCTATCATCAGCATCATCATCATCATCATCATCATCATCATCATCATCAGCATCATCATCATCATCATCAGCAGCAGCATCATCATCAGCATCAGCATCAGCATCAGCGTCATCATCATCATCGTCATCATCAGCATCAGCATCATCATCAGCAACATCATCAGCATCAGCATCAGCAGCATCATCATACTCAGCAGCATCATCATCAGCAGCATCATCCTCATCATCATCAGTAGCATCAGCATCGTCAGCACCATCATCATCATCATCATCAACATCATCAACATCATCATCATCATCACCATCCGCTCGGTCTTCCTCCACCTGCTCCTCCTCCCCCTCCTCCTTCTTCTCCTCCTCCTCCTTGTCCCACTCCCCCTGCGCTTCAACATATTCCTTCTGCCCCGATCGCGCGACGACCCCTCCTCTGGGCTGCTGTAGAATATGGTCGCCTTGCCCAACGACTTCCCGTCCGCGTCCTGCTTGAAGAAAAACTTCTTGATCTGTCCTGGCCCCTGCTGAATCCTCCCAGCTCTATGCTGAGACAGCGAAGGACAAATGGGAGGTACGAGGAAGGCGCGAAGGAGCGCAACGACGAGAAGGCAGCAGAGGAGAAAGGAGGTGGATAGAAGGAAAAGACAATACAGGGGCAACCAACCGCATCAACCTCGGAGCGAAGGGTCGGATTGTGGCGGAACTGGGGGCCGTCGGCGGAGTTGTTGCCCTTCACCCTGGGTGCACGTGCTGATGGAGTCTCGGGGTAAACGAGACAGTCCAAAGCAGTCAATCCTGCTCCTCTCCTCCTCCCCCCTCCTCCTCCTCCCTCCTCCTCCACCTCCTCCTCCCTCCTCCTCCTCCTCCTCATCCTCCTCCTCCTCCTCCTCCCTCCTCCTCCCTCCTCCTCCCTCATCCTCCTCCTCCTCCTTCTCCTCCGCCATGCCTTCTCCTTACCTATACGACCACCCGTCGGGTGATATGGAGGTTCGGGGGGGGGGGGAACCAACGTCTCACTCGATCGGTCTCACTATCGATCTCACTATCGATCTCACTATCGGTCTCGCTGGATCGGTCTCACAATCAATATCACTCGATCTATTTCATTCGATCGATCTCACAATCGATCTGACTATCGAGTTCGCAATCGATCTCACTATCGATCTCACTGTCGATCTCACAATCGATCTCACATTCGGTCTCACTATCGATCTCACAATCGATACCACAATCGATCTCACAATCAACGTCATCAGCATCATCATCATCATCAACAACATCATCGTCATCAACGTCATCATCATCATCATCATCATCATCATCATCAGCATCATCATCGGGACACCATCATCAACATCATCATCACCGCATCACCATCATCGTCAACATCATCATCATCATCACCATTAACACCACCATCATCAGCATCACCATCATCGGGACACCATCATCGTCACCATCATCATCACCATCATCATCATCATCGGGGCACCATCATCACCATCGGAAAACCACCACCACCACCATCATCATCATCGTCATCATCATCATCATCTCATCACTATCATGAACAACATCATCCTCACCATCATCGGGACACCACCATCATCATCAACAACATAAGTATCAACAACAACATCATCAGCATCATCATGATCATCATCATCATCATCATCATCACCATCATCATCGGGAAACCATCGTCATCGTAACCATCATCATCACCATCACCATAATCATCATCATCATCAGCATCATCATCACGGGACACCATCATCATCATCATCAACATCAGCATCATCGTCATCAAGATCATCATCATCATCATCATCATCATCATCATCATCATCGTCATCGGGACACCATCATCGTCATCATCATCAACATGATCATCATCGGCAAACCAGCATCGTCACCATCATCATCACCATCATCATCACCATCATCATCATCATCATCATCATCTTCATCATCGGGACATCGGGACACCATCATCATCATCATCATCATCATCATCAGCATCATCAGCATCACCACCAACATCAGCATCATCATCATCACCATCGTCGGGCCACCATGATCAAAATCGTCATCATCACCTCATCATCATCCTCATCATCAAAATAATCATCATCATCATCATCAACATCCTCATCATCATCATCAACATCATCGGGACACCATCATCCTCATCATCACCAACATTATCATCATCGGGAAACCATCATCGTCCCCATCATCATCAACAGCATCATCATCAACAGCATCATCATCATCATCGTCATCATCGGGTCTCCATCATCATCATCATCATCATCATCATCATCATCATCATCTTCATCTTCATATCATCATCATCATCTCATCATCATCATCAACATCATCAGGATCATGAACATCATCACCATCATCGGGACACCATCATCATCATCAGCAACATCGTCATCATCAACATCATCATCATCGGGACACCATCAACATCACCACCATCACCATCATCATCATCATCATCATCATCATCAACATTGTCAACATCATCATCATCATCATCATCACCATCATCATCGGGACACCATCATCATCACCGTCACCATCACCATCATCATCATCATCATCATCATCATCATCGTCAACATCGACATCGACATCATCATCATCATCATCATCATCATCATCATCATCATCATCATCATCATCATCATCATCAAGACACCGACGGGACACCGTCTGGACACCGGCGGGACACCGCGCGCCACCGTCCCCCGGAGAAGAAACATGTGGTCCAGCCGCGCCTCAGCTGGAGGCGGGACACCAGCGGGACACCGCGCGCCACCGGCCCCCGGAGACGAAACGTTTGGTCCGGCCGCGCCTCAGCCGGAGGAGACTTTCGTCTCGCCCGCCCACGCAGCTTCGCCTCGCCCGCACGCACGGCACGCACGCACACGAAACCGAAACCGATTTCCCGGTAGGGGGGCTCTCCTTTCCACTTCGATCTCACCCCCTCACCTCCGATAAATGCCTCCTCCCTGTCGCACCCCCCGGCGTGTCGATAGGGCGGGCCGGGCATGTCGCCTGAGACTTGTTCACCACTCATGGGCCTGAAGCTTGACATTTGCAACAGCGTGCTGTTCAAGATGTGGTGTTCGACTTAGCGCCGCACACATTCGTCTTAGAAGTAAGCAGCAGCTTCCAAGATCGAGGGCAAGTGTTGATCAAAGTATGGCTGTGGCCTCAGCGCCGCGCACATTCGCACTAAAAGTTTGCAGACGTTTCAAGGGTAGAGGGCGGTTCCTTTTCACAATGTGGCTCTCGCCTTAGAGCCGCGCACGTTCGTCTTACGATTTCACAACAGTTTCAAGGGCGGAGGGCGGTTATTTTTCACGATGTGGCTCTCGACTTAGCACTGTACACAGCCGTCTTCAAAGCTTCCAACAGTTTGCAGTTTGGAATATTCGTGTGGCTCAAATCCCAAGAATGATTTTCTGGTACGATTGAAGATTGCCAGGACGAAACAGCCACATTGAGTCGCGGACTTGAAGTCCCAAGACTGATGTTCTGGCACGGTTAATGCTTGTCACGACGCAAAGGTCATGTTGATTGGCTGCGCTGGAGTCCCAGCAAGTGTGTTTTGGCACGATAGAGGGTTCTCAGACGGTTGCCTTCCAGTGGGGCTCTTGCCGCAAGGAAAACAAATTATTAGGACCTGTGAGCAGTGAACTCGAAGGACTGCTTCATTACAACAGTGTTGATGCACTCTGGAGTAGCACGGGTCCTCCTCCTCATCCCCCTGCTCTGGCGCCGCCGTCGGTCGCCTCCGCAGCTGCCCGCAGCCGGGCCTCTGGATCCGATGCTCTCTCGGGCGCGGGGGCCTGCAACTACGGTGGAGCCCCCGTCCCCGTCGGACTTGGACCTGGTCCAGGGGTCTGTGGCGGGGAGAGGGTGCTTTCACACGAGTAACAGAGCCCGGCGTGCAACGCCGGACTGTCTGACGGACTGGCCCGTCTGCAACGAGATAACATGAAACGGGGCGGGAGGCAGCCTAAGTGCTGGATGCGCTACACTGCGTCCCGCTAACACAACATGCTGAAAGTGCCTACTCACTCACAGCACGGCGGTGCGAAGACTTGAGGCGGTAGCATCAACCGGCGAACCAAATCCACCCCATCGTGCCACCTTGACTGCGCGATTCCTCGACACGCAACGGGTGTCTGTCCGACCAGCCAGACTCGATGCCCCGGCGGACCAGCTGCAAATCGGGAACAATGAGGCCAGGCGATGAATGAAACATTCCCTACCCCGAAACCTGGACAACCTGGCTGCCCAGCTCTGGCCATGTCTTGTAGGGTCAAGATGGTCCTGCCACTCGGGAGCCCGTCCTATGCTAGATAGTAATGTTTGCGGTTGCCCTCCCCCTGCGCTAAATTCGAGTCGGCCTCACTGCGGAACTCGGATTCGATGTTGAAGAGCTGCGTACGTCTTGAGGCCAGAACCGAATTTATTGTGCTAACTTTGAAGCAATAATAATTTTCGGGCCCTCCCTCCATCCGAAGGGCTGTTGCAGGAATTCGACGATGTTGGCCACATGTGTGGACGTTTGAAGCGAGAGGGAAAGAAACTGACCATAAAGCCTGAGGGCGCCCACAATTTGAAACAGGAGCCGAGAGAATTGCGCACGCTCTGCGGCCGAGGTCGACATTAGGGGGCAACTCGCCCCCCTCCTTGGATGAAGGAGGGGGGGATAGGCAAGCTCCGGCAGAAGGTTAACACCCTATCCAGAGTACAGAATTCTCTCAGGCCCTGCAACAACCCGAACGACGCTAATTACGCCGCGCCCGCCAGCCGGGCCGCGCCCCCGTCGTCTCCGAACTTGGCGAAGTCCCGGCGGACCGTGTCCCCGTCGGCCTCACGCGCACGTCGGCGCCCCCCCTGGTGCCCCGAGGGAGGGTAGAGCGAGGAGGATGGCGTTTAAGGGGAAGGCGGGGGAGGATGGGGTGGGAGGGCAAGGTCGGGAAAGGGGGGCGGGGAGGGGAGGGGGGGGAGGGAAAGAGAGAGATGCTTACCACTGGGAGCGAAGTTCGTCCAGGCCCCGAGGCTACAAGCGCCTCGCATACCTACCTCACAAGGCGAAGAGGGGCCGCTTACGGTGGTGGAGTGCCCCCCCCTGGCGCGGCCGATAGGGGGCCCCGGCTGGAAATCAAACCGGGCATGCGATGATCAGGCCTCTCAGGGGCCCGTCTGCGCCACCCATGGCAGCAGCGCCGCCCTTACACTCGCGCGCTGGCATGCGCGATGCGGGACATGAGAAAACATGAACGGCGCCGCCTTGGGGCATCCCCACAGCGCTCCAAAGAAAACAGGCGACGGAGCAGGAGCCAAAGCAAAAAGGGGATGCTGGCAGCCACTGGTGTGCCGCACGTTGAGCGTCGATGAGGCCTTGGAAGTTGCCGCGGGGGTGCGGGCCGACCGGCCAGATGCAGGCCGTTCCAGGCATCTTGCGCTCATTGGACTATGTCCAGCAACGAAGCTGATTACTCCTGAGTCTGATGGAGGGGGAGCACAACATTGTTGGTTCTCGTGAGTGCTGGCGACGAGAGTCGTGTCGCGATCCCCTTGGCATTGACTGCTCGCCGCTGTGAGATGATGGGTGAAGGCTTGCCTGCGGTCCATACGTTGGGCGGCACCGCTGGCGAGGTGTCCGTCGCCCCTATCCTCGCGCCCGCCCCCTTCGGAGCCCTGGTGGGCCGACTGCAGGGGCGGATTTGACAAGAAGGCTCGAGGTGCCCGCCAGGCTCTGGGGCGGTAATCGACGGATTGTGGGGAGAGTGGCCGCGCGCGTCGAGGTGACCCTCGGCTACATCGGCTTCGACTAGAAAGTGGCCCTGCGGAGGGAAGTCGCTTGCACCGTCGCCGTTGAGCGAGGCCCCGAACCCGAGAGGGTCGACGCCCGCCCCTTCGAATCGCTCCGCGATGGCAACCCCATGGACCGTCGAGTTCGTCGAAGCGCTGGACTGGTGGACCGCCCATTGGAGGCGGCACTCCTGGAGCGCCAGCGCCCTGCCCCCCCCACCCAATGGCAAGCGGGTTCGATATCATTTTCGACTGCTCGGGCATGGACAGCCCGGCCCCCCCGCAAGGCAATGCGAGCGCCCGACGTCGCCGGTCGTAGATGGCAGCGGCCGCGCCATGGATGAGAGCGGCGAACTTGCGCCACCATTTGGCAGCGTCGACCTGGCCGCGTGGCACACTGTGGAGCCGCGCCCCCGCGGCGGCGACTTCGCCCGCGCGCTGGTTGAAGGCTTCAGCCATAAGAGCGACGCGCCCTTCATTGATGCCTTGCTCCCCGGCGTGATTCCCACCTTCTGGGCTCCGAACAAATCTGGTTTTAGTGCCCGGTGGATTTTCTGCCGCGCATGATCCCATCGGGGCCCTTCACGCCGCGGCTGTTTGCGCGTGGGGAAGCCGTCGCATTCGCCAGCGACCGCTCGGTCGTCGACGAGCGCGCGCGCCGGTCTGTCGGCTGCGGCGACAGAGTGGAGCGCGGCAAGCGCTGCGGCCCGCTGCGCAGAATGAGCCAGAACGCGCACGCGGGCAGGATGATAAAACCGGCGGTTTGGACCGCAGCACACACCGCGCCGCGCTCTGGCCAGGAGGGGGTGGGCTTGGAGCGAGCAGGCGCCGTCCGCAGCAACGAAACCTGCGGAGCCCCTTGGCCCTTGGTCGTCGGATGAGTCAAGATGCGGGTCGCCTCCCGAGCCCCCTGGCGGCGGTCTCGGGATGGGCCGCGGAAGCCCGTCCTCGGCAAAGGCAACCTGGGGATCGAGGAGGCCGGGGTCTTCGTCCAATAATCCACGGCGCCAGGTGCGCGGTGGGAGACCTTGCCATTGCTGCTAGAAGAGAAAGTGTTTTTGACGGCAGTCCTCTCAGTCTCCCAGCACGGGCATCTCCACGCAACGTGCGCCTGCGTTTCCTCCTCTTGGTCGCCCCATCTGCATCTGGGAGATGGGTCGGCCGAAATGCCAGACTCGAAAGTGGCCGTTAACGTGCGTTTTCCGACTTCTGCGCCGAGACGTCCTGGGAGCTTCGCGGCGTCTCGCATCTGGACAGCGAAGAGGTGGCGCGAAAACGAGGCAGCGAAAGCATCCGCGATGTCGTCGTCAAGCTGTTTGCGGAAGGCATGTTCTACTGACTTTTGGCGCTCTTTCGCCGTTTGTTGCGCGTGCCTGGTCCGCCTGGTTGGCGGAGCCCAATGATGGGCGCAGCGCCTGGAGACTGCGCCGCGAACAGTTCCTCGAGCGCGGGTGTGGGCAAATGGCACTGGCCTCACAGATGGCGGCGCTGATCCAGGCTGCGTTGTCGATTTGGTCCAGTGTGGCTTGCGCGACGTCTTGGAAGCAATGTACCTCGCCCCGTCCAAGCTGGCATCTTTTCGCCTTTCAAATGTCCTGGCGCGGGCTTGATAGCCGTGGCCGTGCGACGGAAGATTTGGATGAGGGTCTCGCGACCTGGGCAATCGGTGTTGTCAGGTCAGAGAACTGCGAACTCGATAGGTTTGTCTTGTGTTCGGGTACGCTGCAGCAGACGACTGGTTTCCTCCAGCGTGCTGAATGAAGCGCAATTGGTGTGCGACGTCCCGTCGACCGCTTTCCCGGATGCAACTGTCACGGGGACGTCCCAGTTCTGAGCATTCCAGCTGATGAGAAAAGGTTTGCCGCTACCTTGCTGGGCTTCGGTTTCGGCCGTGGTTCTTGATGGGTCACGGCATGACGCCTTGTTGAGAGTGAAAGAGTAGCGCAGCATGGTGCAGCTGATCTTGCTTCCCCCTGCCCAATCGCATTCGCTCGCCCCTGGGCCTTCTTTGGTCGAAGCGGTGTTGCTGGTAGATCGTACCGGGACCGGCGTGGTGCTTGTGAGCCAATTCGCCATATCCACCACTTGCTCTGTCGACGCCACCGCTGCTCTGGAGCGCGGCGACGCAGGCTTCCTTTCGGGACAGGTTGCTATCTAGTAAAGTAGCCTTTGTGCGGCCCTTGTCTGGTGGTTTGGGCTGCCGTGGTGCAGGGGGCGCGCGGCACGTGCCTGGCGGAGCCATGGCGCGCACGAAGGACTGAAACCATAAGACGCCAATATGTCACGGCCTGGAGGGGGCCGTGCCGGGTCCCGCGAGGCAAGACTGGATGCAGGGCGCCTGGCGTCTGGGCTCGCCCTTCACTAAGCTCTAGAGCCGAGGCTACAGGGAGAGGGAGGGGGAGGAGGCGGAGGGGAGGAGGAAGAGGAGAGGGAGAGAGAGGGGGGCAAAGGGATGACGAGGAGCTGGAGGAAGAGGAGGAGGAGGCGGAGGAGGAGGAAGAGCAACACCAGGAGAGACGAGGGGAAACAGGAAGAGGAGGAGGAGAAGGAGGAGGCCTGGAGGAGGATGAGGGAGAGGAGGAGGGGGAGGGGGAGGAAGGAGAGGAGGGAGATGAGCAGGAGCATGTTCTGCACGTCTGCAACTCGGATCTCGCCAGCCGCCTGCGCACACCGTTGGTTCTCGTAGGCTCTATCGCTGTTGCCAGGTGACGAGGGCCAGAATGAAGGCGAGAAGGAGGATGCACAAGAGGGGGAGGGAGAAGCCCTGACAAGGACGGCACAGGGAGGCCATTGGAGGAAGGAGGAATGAGGGAGGAGGGAGCGTGATGGAGGGAGAAAGGCAGGGAGGGTCAGGCAGGAGGTGGCGGGATGAGGCTGCGGATAGGATGATGATGATGTTGATGATGACGATGCTGATGCTGCTGCTGATGATGAGGATGATGCTGATGATGATGATGGTGATGCTGATGCTGATACTGATGATGCTGATGATGGTGATGATGATGGTGGTGATGATGATGCTGATGATGATGCTGATGATGATGCTGATGATGATGACGACGATGATGATGCTGCTGATGATGAGGATGATGCTGATGATGATGATGCTGATGTTGATACTGATGATGATGCTGGTGATGGTAATGATGATGATGATGGTGGTGGTGATGATGATGATGATGATGATGATGATGATGATGATGATGATGATGATGATGATGATGATGATGGTGGTGGTGGTGGTGGTGGTGGTGGTGATGATGATGATGATGATGATGATGATGATGATGTGGTGTGGGGTGGCGGTGGTGATGATGATGATGATGATGATGATGATGATGATGGTGGTGATGGTGGTGGTGGTGGTGGTGGTGATGATGATGATGATGATGATGATGATGATGATGATGATGATGATGATGATGATGATGATGATGATGATGATGATGATGATGATGCGGAGGAGGAGGAGGAGGAGGAGGAGGAGGAGGAGGCGGAGAAGGAGAAGGAGGAGGGGCATCCGCAGCAGGAGGTAGGAGGAAACAAATAGGGAAGAGGAGATAGCGCAGACGATGGAAAGAAAAGAAGATGGCGGAGGGATCAGGGAGCCGGAATGGAGGACAAGGAAGAGGAGGGAGAAGGCAGAATAGAACGGCGGACGGAGAAGGGGTGATACAGGCATGAAGGGGCTAACCCAAAACGCCGCCCTGCGGCTGCATTGAAGCTGAACCAGCCTCTCCCCATAGCCTTCTCCTCCTTCCCCGACCCGGCACTGGCTCGCACCACCTGACCTCACCACTTCTCCCTTTCCCCTGGCCCAGCCCTCTCATTCCAGCTGCCCCCCCCTGACCTGGTGCCCTCGCTCCCCTGACCTTCGCGCCACCTCAGTCCCTGAGCCCAAACTCTCTCCTTCAAGCTTCTCTCAGAGGCTGGCAGGGAAGCTCAAAGCATTGGAAACATCATCCTGGCGAAGGGCAGAACCACATGCAGCTGTGTGTACCGCAGTTCTGAGGATCGTATTCGGTAGGGTTACTAACAGGGCCACGAAACATTTGAGGGAGGTACCAACAGAGGCGGGCAGCCACATGCGAACCCTGCCACTGGATCCTTCGGTGGAACTCCCTACGGGGCCACCGAACGTGTCAGGGAGGAGCTAGCTCCTCATGGGGCCACGAAAAGTGTCAGGGGTGTGCCGAAATGGGCGGAGAGTCCCATGCAAGGACGGCCACTGGGGCCTCAGGTGGAGCACCCTGTGGGGCCACGAAACGTGCGAGAGGTGTGCCGAACTGGGTGGGGAACCGCATGCGAGGACGGGGCCTCAGGTGGAGCTCCCTTTGGGGCCACAAAACGTGCAGACATGGGCGGTGAACCGCACGTGAGGACGAACGGCGTGCGAGCACACACGCGTGCGGTGAACCGCAATGGTGAAGAGGGCAGAGACACGGATAGGAGGTAGGAGGGGGAGCAGTGAACAACGCAGAGCAGCGCTGATCCAAAATGAGCACCCAACACTACAGCATGGTTGGTCAAAAACGGCATGTGCGTGTTGCATGTTCTCTTGCTTCTCGAGCCTTGGGGTAGCTCCAAGAGGGCCCTGTCTTGAGCTACGCCTCACTGGGGGGAGAGATCAGACCCTGCATCCAGAGCAGAAGCCAGAGCTAAGCCGCCCAGAGGCGCAATGCTTTTGGTACACAGGCAAAACGTAAGTAGCTGCCCAGGCCCATTGGCCTTAGATAAAATATCACCTGCTGCCGCGGGTTGTGAGCAAACCCGCTAGGGGTCTGAATGATTACCCCCTCGTACCCTCTGCCATCGCCGCTCCCTCCCACTCGTTGGCCCAAACCCCGCCCCCCAAGTACAATACACCCTCTGGCCAGACCATTCCCCCCCCCGCCTGGCCATACCAATCCCCTGGCCAGACCCCCCCCCCACAGAGAGAGGGGAGAGGAGGAGGGGGAGGCGGAGGAGGAGGAAGGGTAGCCAATCGCCAAAGGGAGGAGGGGGAGGCGGAGGCGGAGAACGACAAGGACGAGGAAAGGACGAGGAAGAGAGAAGAGGACAACGAGCGGCAGCGGGGCCTCCCAGGGCAGGTTGGACAGGTGGATCTCGCAGGCATCCTTGCGGGCTGCGTGGCCGTCCTTCTCGCCGCCTCCCCGGACCCGCCGCCCTGGCCGGCTCGCAGCGCGCGGGGGCTCCCGGGTGGGAGCGCCGCGGGTCGGGGGGCGGAGGATTGCAAAGACCGCTATGCCGTCGGGGCGTTGACCTGAGGAGCCCTAAAGAAGCAACGAGGCCCCCTTTTTCCATACGTGAGCCTTCGATTTCCTGTCGAGAACAGAAGGGAAGCCTGAGGCAAGCTGTGAAACACTCAAGGAACGCGGAGCCCCTCCCCAACGAAAAGGGTTCCTTCTTCAGGGCCCCGACTGTAAGCATATAACGGGACCGAATCGCATCTTCAGGGATGAAGTGGGTATCGGCGAAAAACAAGGGACTGCGGGGCGGCTTGCGGAACATCCATGCTGCCACAAGGCAGCAGTTGTCCGACAACGGATCGCATCCTTCAAGTAAATGGGATGGCCAAAACCTGAGACCAGTGGCCGTGGTGGAGCTAGTCCAGGGGTGGTGGTGCCACTAGCCGTGAAGCGAACCCACGGGGAGGATCCAATATGACCATTCTGGCCAAGCCTTGGAAAACAAGGGGGTTGGCACTAAGCAGGAAGCTTTCGATTGAGACGGGAATTCTTGAATCCTTGGCTTTGGAGTTCCTGGCCCCTTCAGGACCTGACAACGTGCTTTGCATAGCACGCAGCGCGAATCACGATGCGCCTTCCGCCTCGTCGAGGGCTCCTGGGCAGGGCCACGCTCCGGGGAGCGCAGTGCGCAGTGCGCGACTGTCGGAGTGGAGCCTGCCCTTCCCCTCGTGGCTCTCGCGCCTCTTGCCCTGCACGGGGACTCCGAAGTGAAGAAGGGGGAGCCGCCTGCCGAGCCCGCAAGTGGGACCGCGGGCCGGGAGAGGGCCGGGCCCAGGAGAGGGAGGTTTCGCAAGGCCAAGGGACCAGCCCTAACAGCCACCCTGGCACGCGTCCCCCCGCTGTCGAGGTCGAGCCACAGGGCGTCGGCGGGATGCATGGCACCGCGGCTCCGGCAGCAGGGGTGCATCTCCTGAGCTGAAGAAGGGGGGCACAGAGGGCCGAGAGAGGCGGTGGCGAGATGGTAGTTGGCAGAGGGCGGCGGGACAAGGGGGGCCTAGCAATACGCGGAAGGCGGGGGGGGCGAGAGGGCAGGAAGGGGCCGGGGGGGGGGGGCATGCAGGGCCGAGCCACTGCGCTCGGCAACGGGGCAGGGAGAGCACACGGGGAGGGTGCGGGTCGGGGGGCCCGCAGGCCCAGGGAGGCAAGGGGGGCCAAAAAGGGCGCAGCACGTTCCGCCGCGGTCCACCTGAGGGGGCAGGGGCGGATTGGCCGAAGGCAGTGTGCTTCGCCTTCGTTCACCAGCCGCGGCACGGGCGAAAACGGCTCGAGAGAGCCGCGCCTTGGCGCTGCCGTGCTCTCCTGCCCTGGGAGGGCCAGACGACCTGTGCGCTGCCATAGTGCGTCTGCTGGGGCAAGTGCGGAGTGGCTCCAGAAGGCTGTGCTTCGGCGCTGCCGCGCTCGCCTGCCCTGCCGGGGGCGGCGGGGCCAGAGGGAGGACGAAGGGGGGGCCGAAGGGGAGGGGGCAGCGTGGGAGGGAGCAAGAGGGGCGCAGCTCGTTCCGCCGCTGTCACCTGCCAAGGCAGGGGCGGAGTGGCCGAAGGCATCGCGTTCCGCCTTAGCCCACCTGCCGCGACAAGGGCGAATGGGCTCGAGAGAACCGCGCCTCGGCGCTGCAGTACTTTCCTGCCCTTGGCGAGCTAGAAGAAGGCACCTGTGCTCCGCCATGGCCTGCCGGCCGAAGCAATGGCGGATTGGCTCTGGAGGTCTGTGTCTGGTAGCTGCCGCGCTCGCCTGCCCTGACACGGGCGGCGGGGCCACGGGAGGGATGAGGGAACAAACGAATGGGGGGCAGCGAAAGAGGGAGCATGGAGGGGGTGCAACCCGTTACGCCTTGGCTCGCCGGCCCCGATGGCATTGTGCTCCACCTTGGTTAGCCTGTCGCGGCAAAGGCGGATGGGCTCGAGAGAGTCGTGCCTCGGCGCTGCCATACTCTCCAACCCTGGGCGGACTAGACGAAGGCACTGTGCTCCGCCATGGCTTGCCTGCTGAAACTGGGGCGAGCTGGCTCTGGAAAGCCGCGCCTCGGCGCTACCGCGCTCGCCTGCCCTGCCGGGGGCGGCGCGGCAGGGTGAGGGGGGCGATCGGAGGATCAACGAGGGAGCGGGCCAGGACGACGCAGCTCGTTCCGCCGTGGCTCGGCGCTGCCGCGCTCGCCTGCCCTGACACGGGCGGCAGGGCCCGCGGACAACGGGAAGTAGCGAAATGGTTGACCTACCGAGACAGGGACGGACTGGCCGAAGGCATTCTTGTGCTCCGCCTTGGTTCGCCTGCCGCGGCACGGGCGAAAGGGCTCGAGAGAGCCGCGCCTCGGCGCTGCCGTGCTCTCCTGCTCTGGGCGGGCTGGCCGAAGGTGTTCCTCTATAGTTCACCTCCCGAGGCAGGGGCGGATTGGCTCTAGAGAGCTGTGCCTCGGCGCTGCCGCGCTCGCCTGCCCTGTCGGGGCCGGCGGGGCCAGGGGAGGAGGGAGGGGGCGAACGGGCGAGCAGAAAAAGATGGAGCAGCTTGTCCCGCGATGGTTCACCTGACGAGGCAAGAGCGGAATGGCCGAAACATTGTGTTCCGCCTTAATTCACCTGGCGCGGTAGGGGCGGACGGCCTCTAGAGGGCCGTGCCTCGGCGATGCCGTGGATACCAAACCTCCGATGAGGCCCTCTGAAGGGAGAGAAGGGAAAGCAGCCCGACGAGCCCGCAATTGCGACTGCGGGCTGGGAATGAACTGGATACCCCGTGGGGAAGGGAGGTTTCTTAGGGCGGGCCAGGCCTAACAGCCTCCCTTGCCTGTGTCGCCTCGCTGCCGAAGCCCAGCCACACGGGGGCGGCGAGCCCCGTTTTGATGTCTGTGGGGCCGGCACTCAAAAAACGCGTCCCCGTGCCGTCCCAGTTGGAGGTCCCGTTGGGACAAGTGGGCAATGCCCCCAGGACGCAAGCGCCTCTGCGGCGCTGGGAGCCATCGTAACCCCGCGCGCGGGGCGGTGAGCCAGGTTCGGGGGGCTCTCCTGGGGCCAAAGGGGGTCTCTTGGGGCCTGGCTCCAACGGGATAGCCCGAACGACCCCCTTGATCCCCGTGAGGGGCCCAGGCCCCCTTGAGGGGATCTTTTTAGGGCCATGTGAGCAGCCCGAAAATTCCCCTGGCCTGCGTCGCCGTGGTGGTGGAATTCTACCGGGCACAAGGAGGTGCTCGTAAAGGACGCAGCGTCCCCTTCTAGGCCGCCCCGTGCGTCCTTCCTGGGTACTCTACTCTGGATCCGTGCACACCTTCGGCACGGGGAGGGGGCGGGGGGATGATGATGATGGTGATGATGACGATGATGATGAGGAGGAGGAGGAGGAAGAGGAGGAGGAGGAGAGGGAAGAGGAACGTTCCAGGAACATTCCAGGAAAAGGACGCCGAAAGCCCACTAGCCTACTTCACTGCTGGAACCGACTCTGCTCAACTTCGAGAACCGAGAACAGATTTCGCGGGCCCCACAGGTGGGAGGAAACGGCCCGACTTAATTGTCGCCAAACTATGTTTGACCTTGCGGGTCGGGCTACAAACTTTCAGAAACTGCCGGGGGTCGGGGTGCAACTAAACCCACACGTGATGCAGCAATAAGAACAATAGTTACCCGAATACTGAAATGCATGCGACGGATGTAGCCCTTTGCCCGCCACCACTTTGGTCCCTCGGACCGGTTCGAGTTCCCGTGCTCGCCTCGGGCCACAGGGTGTCTCACACGCCTGAAAAATCTGATCGCGATTCGAAAAACGCGAGCACGTCATGCAATCAAGCCTAGCACCCACACGACACCACCGATGTTCCGAAGCCCTTACAATTCGCACCACCTTCGGGGTGGTTTCGCTCTCTCCACCGTCGGGTGCTCAGCGGCCCAAATATCCGAAACTATGGGCAGCCCCAGGGCCCGGCGCGAGCGCCGACGGATCAAAAACGTCTCAGCATCCCTCCTGTCGGCGGGGGGGTCAGAGAGCACGAACTCTGACCAAGACTTTTCTGCCATGGCCCCTGCTAGCGCATCGGCACGTTCGCTGCCGTGCACCAAAAAGACCTTGTCTCGATTGCGGAGCGCAGCCTCCTCTTGGTGGGAAGCCACCCATGCAGTTTCTAGGCCATCGGTTCTCTGGCTCGCAGCGCTGCCACTCCCCTGGCCCAAGGTCCGCATGGACCCCCCCCTTCGATGCGGGAATTCAGAAGGGGAAGGTGGGCCGTCACAAATCGGAGTCGGCCTGGGAATTCGTCCAACGCGTTGGCGAAGGAGGTAATCTCAGCGCGAGGCGCATTCTGCCTTCTTCCCTGGAGGGTCGCACCGAACCCCCAAACCGACTTCCGCTGCTGGCCATCAGGGGCCGAAGCTACTACTCCCAAGCCTGCCCGTCGACGCCGATGGTCGTCAGAAAACCCCCCGCCAGGCCCGTCCCCGCACGCGGTAGCGAAACCTTCGGCGTCTCTGGGAATGCCCCGGATCGGTCCGAACTGGGAAAACAAGGGAGGTCCATCATAAAAACTCGGGACTGTCTCTGCCCGACTTGAAATCCCCGGAGGCAAAAACTATGCGAACTCTCAAAGTTCGCTCGCGCCTGGGCCGAAAGCGAAAAATCGATCTCGAAAAACCTTCGCGGCCACCGTTGGCCCCGCACTCCCAAATCCGACGAAAACAAACTCCAACTTCTGGCGCCGCGGGCAGAAGGCTGGGAACGTTGCGCCCCGCCTGGCTGGGCCTCTCACGCGTCCACTGGCCGCCCGTCACGGCCCCGACATTCAGCGCCCAGTCGTCGGTCGCGTCATCGATCCTGAGACGCTTCAGCCCCCTGCGCGCCTGGTGCATGTCGGCGCCGCCCTGCAGGTCACCACCATCCAAGTGGTGCGCCGACATGCCCCATAGCTGCCTGCCCACCGTGTCCTCTATATAAGAGATCCCAGGATATACGCAAAGTCCATGTGAAACTGCACAAACAACTGCATCTGCACAAGAGGAGATTGTCCATGTGGCTTGACCTGATTCCCATTGCATCGGCGAATGCGGCGCCCATCCGATCTCCATCGACGCGGCAGCTGCAGCTCCAATCGGCCCCTTCGCCGATCTCCAGCGTCTCGACGCTGCCAACGGCAGCCTTCTGCGAACGCGGCCACGGGCCAAGGCAACACGAGCATGCCATTCTGAATTCTCTCGCCGCAGCTTCAGCAGCGAGCAGAGACGCCCGCGACGCGTGGACTTCGCAGGGCCCCTGTTCTTGAACACCGCAGCCCAATGATGTAGTCAAATAGCGCCCTGGACCCGAACCCGCCGAGCATTGCGCCGCCTGTCGCCGTAAGTCCGCCACTATGTAGCCCGGCCTTCCACCAGCTCGATGCGCGCGCGCGCAGTCTGCGGCCTGGCTCCTGTGGCCCACAATGACGACGTGATGCTCCACAACTTGGCATGTCTTCGCATTCTCCATATCACTTTGATTCGTTGCTTCGCCTTCGCCTTCCGCTCGTCTGCCTTCCTACAAGGATCTGCGCCCCCCTGCGCTCGCGGCCATTCCGAGATCTACTGATTCCAAGGTCGGCGTGACAGGAATGCCTGATCGTCGAAATCCTTCCGCAACTAAGTCAGAAATGCGCGCGGCCGATCCCAAAACCGCCGTCTTCTCACAAATGACCAGACCAGCCTGCCGAAACTGCTCGCATATGCGACCCCCGACCTCGACCATGGTTTCCGTGACCTGCTTCTCGGCGCCTTCCGCGCGCATTGCCGCATCGTCCACGAACGTACGAAGCAACATCTTCACGCCGCATAGACTGCGCACCGTCTCGCGCATGGGCCCCAAGAAAACCTCCGCCATGCGACATCAAGTGAGACAGCCAGCTACAACGCCTGGCTGCGACTGATTCTGGCGCGGAATCCAACTCCGATCTTTGAATACACGTGGGGCAAAGCACATCTACAACTCCAAAAGAAGCGCCGCCCCCGAAACCCTCGTGTCCGGGCCGCCGCGCACAACGTCGAAATGTCCAAGCTGTCGTGACACTGCTCGATGTCTACCAGCAGCGTCGACGATGAAATCTGCGATTGTCGGGCCGATTCATCCAAAGGACCACGCACTAACGGCGCCTGCAGTGCTGACGACTCACGCATAGCCGTGTCCCAATGCTCATCTGCGTTGCATGTCCACTGCAGTGTCTCTGAACTGCGCCCCTTCGCCCACAACTGGACCAAAAACGGTAGAAGCCCGGATGCTCTATCTCTTCCACGTGGTTTCGGGGCGACCACGCCTATGACCGGGAAGAGCTGACCTGGCCACATCCCCTGCTTCTGCACATTGCACAGGACATCGTGCAGCTGCTCAACTCCTCGGCGCAGCAGTCTCTGCACTTCCAGTGGTTCCATCATGTCTATGCCCTTCGACTTCTTCGCGTTCGTGCTGGGCGTGGCTTGGTGAATGGTGAATCTGCTCCGTGGCGATCTGCTCCGCGTCCTGCTGCAATGCCCTTTTTCCCCTACATGCTTAGCGAGGTTATGTTTTGCTCCCCTGCCGCGTCGCACCCACGTTGCTCCTCCTCCTCCTCCTCCTCCTCCTCCTCCTCCTCCTCCTCCTCCTCCGCCTCCTGCGCACAACCTGAGGCGCCACAGAGTCTATGACACCTCAGCCGTCGGTCGGCGTGGCTGAGGGCGCACCTTGCAACCGCCCTCAGCCACGCACATCGGACAAGGCCCGCGGTGGGCCACACTGCTGCCAGGAGGCTACACCCCAGGCAGCACTGACTGCGCACGGCCAGACCGCCAGCGCGCAAAGGAAGGGCTGCGCAGGGCCAGAAGAAGGATTTGGGGCACAGCACGAGCCCATCAGAAGTGAAAATAAAAGAGGGAGGGCAGGCCGAGGGCCACGGGGCGATCTCCCTTACTGGGAGGATCCCCTATGGCCAACGGCATGCCCCCCAAAGCCCGACCCCACGGTGGGGTCGGGTTGTTCTGAACCATTAAAATCGAGCATCGTGCAAAACGTGGGGGGGGGGGGGGCGAGGGCGGCCGCTGGCAGCTGCCAGCAGCCGCTGAACAATAGCAGCGCGCTCAGCATCCGTGCGCTGCGTGCGCTGCTTGCGCGCAGGCGCAGCAGCGCTCGAACCAACTCCTCCGCCCCCGCTCGACGACGTAGACGGAACGACACCTCCATCCTCCACATGAGCTCCAGCACCGCCAGCAGATCGCCGGGGCGACTCCGAGGGGTGGGCCATGCTGGCACCTTCGCTGGCCGCGCCTGCCTCCAGCAGGGGTGCTTCCAATGCGCTAGCCGCTGCAACAGGCGCCGATATGCTTTCTCCTCCTCCACCGTTCGACAACGACGACACACCGAGGCCTCCTTCCTCCGAGATGGCGCCAGCGTCCGCACCAGACAGGTGGGATGCCCTCGAAGGTTGGGCCGAAACATCAGCAACAGCACTGTCGTCGCACGCCTCCAGCTGGGAGGCGTCGAAAGAGTCGGCGGCGGCGGCCTCTACTAGCGGCGCCTGCGCAGCGACCCGAAACACCTTAGCACCGAGGCGAAACTCACCTTTGCCGAGCCGCTTGAGCACCTTCATGGCATGATCAGTGGCCACAGGCGGGCATGGCTGGCCGAGAGCTGCAACGCGAACAGCCGCGAAGTTGCCACAGCGCGCACAGCCCACGACCGTGGGACCTTCGCACAGGGCAATCCGAACAAGGTCATGCTTGCGCGCTCCATCCTCTAGCTTCCTCTGCGCCGCCAGCACGCGAGAGGCAACGCGGGATGGGGCGGGCTCTCGCACAACAAAAAGCCGTGGAAGACGCGGCTTGCCACGATTGTGTCGCTTGGGGTGTCCGCAATCTTCCAACCCCTCGCCGAGTCGGCCAATCCAGCCTCCCCAAGTCTTGACAACCTTAAAGCGGGCCTGCAGCTGCGCACGGTCCTGACGCGGCACCCGCGCAAATGCAGCAGCACTCCTTGCAGCACGGTCTGCCATCATATTGCCAAACCTGTGGCGCGCCGTGGCGCGCCCATGCTGGATATCACCTACGGCCGCATGGCCTTTGTCTTTCGAGAGCTCGAACCCGCCCCCCCAGTCATCAGCCAACCGCCAGAACTCCCTCCAGAGGTGAGCGCGCGCGGCGACACAGGCAGCGGCGGCCACACGACCACGCTCGTGGAAGCCATCCACGACAAAGGCAGAGTCCGAAAACATGCGTACTGGCGGCGCTGCGAAGCGCAGCACATGGATGACTGCGATGAGCTCGGCAGCATTGATACACTGCAACGGGTCAAGCACGGGACCAGAGCAAAAAGAAACAACCTGAAGGCAATCGGGATGAAGCGCCGCGCACCCCCAGCCCGCACTCGCGAGGCTGGGATGCTCAGCTTCGAATACCGATCCATCAGGGTAGATGTCACCCGTGAAGATGTCAGGCCCTCCAAGCTCCAGCACACTGGTCGCCCAGGCGGCGGCCTCTCCAGTGCGGGAAAAAGGAACCAGACAGCGTTCAGCAAAGGCGAGGGCTAGCGGCGAGTGCGCTGCTCGCGCTACATTGGCACGAAACGCAGGGGCGCCCTCGAGGCTGTCGAGGCGCGAACAAGAGCAGTGCCTGCGCAGCAGCGTGCCTTCGGCCTGAGGGCAGATCAAGCAAGCAGGCGTGGTGTCATATCCCTCGGCCCACTGACGCTTCTGGGGCCACTGCCCCCCAACCACAGTGCTGCGCAGGTGGCCTCTCTGCTGGGCCGTGAGCTTACTCTTGGTGCTGAGCAGGGCCTTCAGGGGGCTAAGAATGACACCGTTGCCAAACTCGGGGAGGTCCAGGTGGTCAGCTATCTTGGCGAACTGCCAACACTCGACGGCACGGTACACGAGCTCCTGGATGGTGACGGGGCAGAAGTCCGTGGGATTGATGACAGCCCCATCGGGCCAAGTCCAGGAGGTAGCCGACGTAGCCGTGATCCCGACACGTTTGAGGGTGGCCCACAAAGCACTGAATGGGCCCCGAATGGAAGACCACGGGTGCTCAAGAATCGATAGCCGCTCGTGGGCCTCACGGAGGCCGCAGTCCAGGGCGCCCCTAGGAAGCCAGGAGTGCCACAGAGCATGGAGGAAGGCCTTCACGGGCAACCACGTGGCCCTGAAAATGGGGTCCAAACGGGGCACAGGAGCCAGTAACGGGGCCAGGGTGCGAGATTTGCCACCCATGCGATGGTCTTGAAGCCTACCAGCTGCACCTCTGAAAACCTCTAACTCCTGCCCGTTAATGCCCACCACGGCGGACCCATACAACACGGAAGACTCCAGGGCACTTCGAGCCATGCGCCCGAGCACGCGGTGACGAGGTTTAGATCCTTTGAGGATCGACATGCGCTGCCGCCTCTTGCTCATGGCCTTGACACGGGAGGCGGACGTGGCCTTGCCCCCTCCAGCGAGCCCAGGGGAGAAATCGACGCCGAGGTTTCTCTCAGCTCTCACGGGCAGGGGTTGAAGGCTACGGAGCTTCGAAGCGATCGAGGCTCTAACCGCAGGCGAGTTCCCAAGCACTCGGGACTTGTCGACGGCGATCCTAAGGTCAGCGGCCTTGAGCTCACTGTGGAGCTTCTTACCCGCACCGACGACGTCATGCACAACTCTCGACTCCGCACCCCATCTCATGAGGCCGAAGTCGTCAACATTGACTGACAGCTGGGCCGTCGGGAAGGACGCCTGAACGGCGTCGAGGGGACCTAGCAGCACCAATTGAAGCGTACAGGTGGCAAATGCACAGCCTGGCACGACGGTCTGCTCCACATCCAACAACGAACCAACCTCGCCAGCCACGTCAAGCAGCCTAGGAGCCCGATAGATCTGCACCAGGAGGTACAATTGCCACATAGGAAAGCAGGTGGCCTGCGCGGCCGAGATGAGATGTCGGTGCTGAACCAGCCCGAACGCCTTCTTTAAATCCAAAAGCAACGTCGCACAACTAGGATTTTTGAACGTCGAGTGTTCGGACCAGGCAGCCTGAATTCACACGCGACGTTCCGAGGACTTGCCGTGGGTGCCCCAAAAGAACGCACGATAATTCCTCTCTTGCCACTGCCGGATGAGAGGACGTCTCAGGCGACATTGAACGCGAGCCAACGTGCGGAGCAAACCCAGAGGCCTGAGACCCCCCACCCGCTTAAGAATAAACACAATGCGGTTCGCATGACAGGCCACTCACGCTTGTGCTCAATGTGCGAAATGATCTCACACAAGGCCTCCAGCGCAGTGGGCGGCAGCAGCATCAGAGAGCGGGGCGACACTTGATCAAAACCAGTGCCAGCAGAAGACTTAAAGCTTTTAAGAGCCCGCACGAGCTCGTCAACACTGGGACGCTCAGGCGGCACTCAAAGTTCAGGCCACTCGAGTGGGGGCCTCGCTTGCCCCACGGACCACCACTTTCTCCACTCGGCCTCAAAGGCCTCGACCGACTCGACCGACGAACAGGGGCGAAGGGTGGGGCGATCAAGGGCACCGGGTTGCCAACCGATGGGAAGGGAGGAAAACTTGAACAAAGCCGACATCCCCCCAGAGGAATGCTTGTCAACCCATTTGCTCCATTCCCTGGCCCTGTCGTGCGCCGACTGAGCCTGAAGCCTCTGGCTTCGACGTCCGCCAGCTCTGCCAGCGCCTTCGCCGAGAGCAGCGGCAGCAGATCAGCCTGGCGCAACACTGCCGCCCAGGCGGCATACACAGCACTGCTAGGGAGGCGGTGAAAGCCTGAAAGCCGATGGGCAGCCGAAACGAGCTGCCGCCTGTGGGCACCCACAGGATCTCGCGCAAGGTCAGACCAGAGGACACTGACTTTGCGCCGCCAACACGCAAGCGGGGAGAGCTTGGGAAACCTCGGAGGCCCTGGGCAGGATGGCTTCTTAGAGGAGATCTTCAGAGGCAGGTCCCTACCGACGCACCCTTCAGCAAGCTCTCCCGATAAAGACATAGAGCCACTCAGCCTCCGCCGCCCGAAGGAAACAGTTCCATTTGTCCTGCACAGAGGCGTTAGGATCGGAACACAACGCGACCGCGGGCTCCCACCTACCTTCGACGGGGGGCCCAGACACCCAATGGGGCGGTCCAGAGGGAACCGTTTGGGCACCTTAACGAACTTGACATCAGCAACAGGCTCAATGCGTGGGGGGACGGGCCTGACAGGGTAATGGGGGGAGATGGGGACGTCTTGAACAATTTCAGCCCTGGCCGCACCTGCGATGACCCTCGAGACGACGAAAAAGTCGATGCACCTCATGGCTGGGCGGCACGTGCCGCCAGCTGGAGCGACGATGACTGCATCCATGGCATCAACCCATCCAGTCTGCTGCAGATCAGTGCGATGTATATTCCAATCGCCACCGATCAAGAACGCCACGCCTGCAGCCTTGAGGGCCCTGCCGACGCGGCACAATATGTCCCAGTTAAAGCTCATTCACCCCGACGGAATGCACCAAGTAGACATTCACAACAAGGAATCCACCTCGAATCATCCCTCCCACATGGTGAAGACTGGCACGCGCAGGCTGCAGCACAGGAGAGACACTGACGAACACGCCAAGACCAATCCTCTTGGGCGTGGCCGTGATCAGCCCGCCAGTGGGATTGCCGAGCGTGGGCAACGCGGCCGTGAGAGAGGCTGACCAGCCGATCTGACGGAGGCGCGCCTCAGTCGGCTCCACCGACGAGGCAGGGATCCCGGTCTCCTGCACGAGGAGAACGCCACTTGCAATACACTCACACAAATACGCGTCGAGCCCAAGCTGGCCTCCAACATTGGCGGTGATCAGGGCCCAGTCCTTGGCCTGGCCAGCGCTAGGATCTGGGCGGGGACCTGCTGGACTCGTCGTCTCCCTCACTGAAGGGAGTGAGCCGAAACTTCTTCTGCGCTGCAACATTGATACCCCCGAGAATGTTCTCCGCGTGCTTGCGCGGAATCTTGCGCTGGGCAAGGAAAGCATTAAACCCTTGCTCAGTGGAAAGCTTCTTGAGGAAACCTGAGAACACACGAGCTGCGGGCGGCGGGCCTGCACTGGCTGCTGCAGCCCCATTCCCATCCCGCCCCCGTCCCAAGTCCGAGCCCGCCCCCCCTCCACTATGCGGGGCAGCAGGCGAGGCTCCTGGTGCAAACGGGGACTCAGAAGGAGGTCGGCCGAAGACTGCCAGCGCGGCAGCCTCCACATCACGAACGTTGGCTGGGGCAGGTTCAGCACGTGCTTCTCCAGGCGGGGCGTCCTCCATGGCGTTGCCGTCGCCACTGAGGTCGTCCAGCTCGTCAGACTCGTAGCCGTGATCGGTGGCAGCCTCATCGTCAGGGTGAGCAGGAACCAGAAGCGAATCTCGCGTCTCCAGCAATGAACGCAGAGAGCGAGCCAAGCCCGCGTCCAGGGACTGGAACTGCATGAGCAGACGAACGCGGGGTCGTCGGCCGACACCGCAGCGCCAGAGGCATCGAGAGCCCCCGCACCACCAGCGGCACACTGCGCCCATGCCGCTGAGGCCTTGGCGGAGGCGACTCGCTCCTGGCCTTCGAGCGACGAGAGGTTGTCCTTGAGCTTGACGAGCTCCAGGACCCTGCTCCGCACGACCGACTCGACCTTCTCGATCTGCTTGGAGACGTGGGCGATCTGCTTCTTGAGATCGTCCAACAACGACTGCGCATGACGCTGAACAGCACGAGGGTCACCAGCAGCAAGGGCACGCTGTGCCACGACGCGAGCACGCTGGGAGGGCGAGAGAAGCCCTTTGCACACCTCGAAGCCATCGTTGGACATGCGCACGATCTTGTCAAGCTGCGCGGGCTCGAGCAGCTTGTGCTTGGGCCGAGCAGCGGCTGAGCGAGGCGGGCCGTCCGCCCAGGCACCTTGCGGCCCACGCTGCTGCTGCACGGAAGCAGGCGCAGGAGGGCGTGCAGCACCGCACTTGTAGCAGAACTGTTTCCACGAGAAATTCGTTTTGAAACCACACTTTTTCTTGGGACAACACCACACCTCATTGCGAGCACCGGCACTGCGCTCGCCCATGAATGTGACTCTGGATATGAAAGAAACTGCAAGGCCTGGGCAGGTTCGAGCAGGAGATCGCACAATCACTAGCTCACTGTAAGCCACCTTTAGAAATGGTTTACTTGAGCCAAAATGGCGACGGATCCTCCTCCGCCTCCTCCTCCTCCTCCTCTTCCTCCTCCTCCTCCTCCTCCTCCTCCTCCTCCTCCTCGTCCTCCTCCTCCTCCTTCTCCTCCTCCTCTTCCTCCTCCTCCTCTAATGAGGCTCTGGTTGCCTCCCCACCCGCGTCGCGCCCGCGCCTCCTCCCACCCACCTCCCTCTCCCCTCCCTCCTCTTCCCATCCTCTCCCTCGCCTCGCCCGAGCGCAACGCGTGCGGGGCGTGGCAGGCGCGGCACTTTCTCGACGTCAGGGGGGCGCGCGGGGGGTGGTCTCTCACCGCGGTCACTATAGACTATACGCGCCAATGTCGCAGGGCCTAGCAGGCGTGGCAATTTCTCTGCGTCAGAGGGGGTGCGCAGGGGGTGGACTCTCACCGCGGTCACTATGCGCGCCAGTGTCGCAGGGCCCAGCAGGCGTGGCAATTTCTCGACGTCAGAGAGGGCGGTCTCTACGCGCGCCAATGTCGCCGGTCCTAGCAGGCGCGGCACTTTCTCGACGTCAGAGGGGTTGCGCAGGGGGCTGACTCGGCGCGTGAATTTCTCAGAGCTGAGCTCGGGCTTGAGCTCGCTCACTTCGATCTGCAGGGGGAGCGTTTTTCCCGGCAAATTTCCGACCTCTTTCATTGAACGCAAAGAGGGGGGTCTCCTCAAGACCACCCTCCCCGCTCCCCTCACCCCAGGCGCCACACCCCCCCCGGCACCTGCCCCCCCCTGGTGCCGGCGCCCCCGGCACCGGCACCCCCTCTCGGCGTCGTCGGCCCCCCCGCTCTGGTGGCCGACTGCTAGGGGGGAAGAAGGTACCGATACGATAGCTCCCCCTACCCCTCCTGGGGCGCGTTCCGACCATGCCGAGCCGGATCCAACCGTGGCGACGAGAGGTCTCCAGGACGAGCAGCGGTATCGGAACCTTGTCCCAGATGAACAGAAAAATAACCGAAATGGAGGATGGAACCGCATGCGGGCGCTGCCGGTCGGGCCTTCCGTGCGGCTCCTCATGGGGCCACGAAACGCGTGAGAGGTGCACCGAGATGGGGTTGGAACTGCATGAGGGCGCGGCCCATAGGGCCTAAGGTGGAGCTCCCTATGGGGCCACGAAGCGTGTGAGGGGTGCCGAAATCGAAGATGGAACCGCATGCGAGCGCTGTCACTAAGGCCCTCGGTGGAGTTCCCTAAGGGCCATGAATCGTGTGAGGGTGTGCCGAAATGGGGATGGGACCGCGTGCGGGCGCTGCCACTGTAGCTTTCGGCGAAAGTATCTATGGGGCCACGCCACGGAAAGTGTGAGGGGTGAATCGAAATTGGGGTAGAACCGCATGCGGGCGCCGCCACTAAGGCATTCGATGGAGTTCCCTGTGGAGCCACGAACCGTGTGAGGGGTGTGCCGAAACAGTGACATGCGGAGGGCAAAGGCAGGGATGGAGTGGGAGGGGAGAGGAGGATGCAGCAGGAGGAGGACGCGGGGCGCTCTCTCTTCAAAACGAAAAAACAACACCACATAATGGTTGGGAATGGCAGAATCGGAACGTTGTCCCAGATTTACGAACATCGCACAAACATTAACTTTCGGAGGTCCGCGCGGAGTTCTTGGATCGTCGACTCCCGGCGCGCTAAGCGCGCCAGGGGCCAGGGGAGGCGACAGATGCGCCGCCAGGAAGCTCGAGCGCCGATCCGAAAAATCCGAGCGGACCTCCAAAAGCTTATGTTTATGTGTCATTGTTGGTAATCCGATGTTCCCCTGAATAGGTCGACAAGAATGGCATGATGGGCTTGGCCAAGGATGCGTTCCAAGAGTTCCAACGTATCCAGCGGCCCTGGTTTCTGCAGCCCGTGTGGAAAACCTGGTAATATATCGGAGATCCTGGGTATCGTGGAACATACTAGCATCGTTGTCATGAACTCTTGCTCCTCTGACTGAGCTGCAGGCCCCGAGGCAGGGCGCCGCCCGATTGCCGAGCCCGTGAGGGGCAACGTTAGGAAGGGACTGGCATAGGTGGGGACACATCGACCCAGAATCGGTGATACATCGCCGATAGATCGGCGACAGTCCCCAGACAGTGCATCGTGCAGGTTGGGGCCATCGGGCCCCTATCGGCGGTCCATGGGCGATTGGAGGTCGATGCGTCTCCCCCCATTCGGCTACACGCAAGAGAGAACCTGGGCAAGAGTGACCGTTGCTGCGCGGCTTCAGGGGGGCGCGAGGGAGCCCAAACCAAGCGCCCGAGCTGCTACCATCGCATCATGCTCAGCAATCGGAGAGAACCCATGAGCCCGCACCAAATGTAACTCCGGCGAAGGGCCACTCTCACGTGTAGTCGACCCATGCCCATCCCCCCCTATCGTTCGGGTGTTGCTAGAAGCACCTCTGGCCCAAGGTGCCCCCCGGATCTCCAGGGAGGCTCCCGCGGCCTCCAGAGCACGCCGTACGAGGTCCAAGAGGGCCCCAGGGGCTCCAAGATTGGGCGAAAAGCTGAGGGCACCTTGGGCCACGGGTATCTTGAGCAACCTCCGACCTGGGGCCCCGCCCTGGCGGCCGCCCCCATCGGTGCGGGCGCCACTCGCCGTGGTGCTCCCGATCGGGGCGCGGCTCGCCAGGCTCGGGGCGTCGCCGAGCTCGGGTCCGGTACACCGCTGTCTCCAAGAAGCCCCTCCCCACCCCACAGGACGGAGGGCGCTTCGCCGACGCATCGCGATCATCGCTGATGCACCAGGAACGTCGGGACGGAGAGAGTCGGACTCCAGATCGCGCGCCAAACAACATGGCTAAGCGAATCGTCGAACAGCGAATGGCGGGCGCGATCGCGCTCGGCGCGGCGGCAAAAACCACGCAGGCTTCGAGCCTCGTCGAAAAAACGTTTGCGAGGCAGTGCAGCAGTAGGCCCCATTGCCGTCGACTGGGCGCGCCGCGCAAACAAGCGGCGCGCCACCCTGATGATCGCCAGCCCGCCGCATCGCCGATGCATCGAATCGCTGCCCCCGAGCCCGCCCCTGCCACGCGCCCCTCCGTCGCCACCGGCGGCGGGCGCCGCGGGCGCTGGGGCGGCGGGGCGGGCCGCCCGCCTCGCCTTCTTGGGGCGGCCGGGGGCCTGCGGGCGGCGGGGCTGCCCGAGTGCGCCTGCTGCCAGCTGCTGACCCTGAGATCCAACGTTCGTTCGTTCGCAAGCCATGTCGCACGACACATCGGCTCAGCAGGGGACAAAAATCCTTGCCGTGCAGGATGAGCGGCAACCGCAGATCACACCTGAGCAAATATGGGGTCAATGGAAAGGCCATATTGTTTTTGTTAAGTGCGTTGAACAAACATCGAGGCGGAGGTTTCTCGCCGTCCTCGGCCTCTCGAGGCCCTCGACGGGCCCCAAGACCGTCCAGACACGGCCAAGAACCGGCCCCGGGCAATGGGGCGGGACTTCCGGGGACCACGCATGGAAAACAACAGGGCGTCCCACGTCTGGGCAGGTGGCCCAAACTTCGCTCGCGCATCGCGCCCCGCGATGCGCGGTGACCTTCGCGCCCTCGCGCCGCCCCCTGGAGGAGGCCAGTTCGGCGGCCCCGGCCGCGACGCGCGGAGCGCGCGCATCTTCGCGTCCCTGCGGGGGTGCCCCAGGATTCCGATGCGGGTGCTCATGGTCCACGGAGAGAGGGCGATGCCGATGCTGAGCCCATGGAGGCACGTCCGAGCACAGGCTCGACGGATGCGGGGAGAGCAGTGGGCACGGAGAGGCTTCCATGCTCTCCGTCGGCTCAGGGACAGCGAGGCAGCATGGGAGAGGACGCCCGGGGCTGCCGAGGCGGCGAGGCGCGCTGGGCTCGTGCGCCCGTGCGCAGGCCCGTGCGCCGATGCCGATGGTGCCGCCGCCTGCCGCCTGCCTGCCGCCGCCTGTCTGCAAGGTGCGTGCTGCTTCCTGCGGCCCACGGCTGCAGGAGCTGCGATGCTGCTCGGGCCGTCTGCCGCTGCAGCCGCCTGCAGGTGCTGCTTCTGTTGAAACAGGCGCCGCCGTGCTGCTGGCAATGCCTGATGGTGCTACTGCTGCCCGCTTCCCGTCTGCCCAACAGCTTGCTAGGCTGTCGGAGGAATGCCGTCACGTCGTGGACGGTAATCCCACCAGCCCTTGAGGGCGTGATCAGCTTAGACTGTTCCCAACCATCCTGTCATGCTGGGTCCTCGTTTTGAAAAAGACGGCGCCCCGCGTTCCTCTCCCTCCTCCTCCTCCTCCTCCTCCTCCTCCTCCTCCTCCTCCTCCTCCTCCTCCTCCTCCTCCCCCCCTCCCTCCTCCCATCCCTGCCTCTGCCCTCCGCACAAGTCAACGATTTCAGCACACCCCTCACACGCTTCGTGACCCCAATAGGGAGCTCCACCGAAGGCCCCAGTGGCAAACTTCGCATGCGTCTCCCCCACCGAGTACAACGCTTCGTGGCCCCATAGGTGGCTCCACCGAAGGCCTCAGTGGTAAAGTTCGCATGCGTCCCCCCCACCCAGTACACCGTGTGGTGGCCGAGAGCCTCACCGAAAGCTCCAGTGCCACCGCCAGCATGAGCCCCCCCCACACCCAGTAGAGCGCTTCGTGGCCCCATGGGGAGCTCCACCGAAGGTCCGATAACTGCCGCCCGCATGCGTTCCCCCCACCCAGTGCAGCGTCTCGTGGCTCAATATGGACCTCCACCGAAGGCCCCAGTGGCACCGTCCGCTTGCGTCCCCCCAACCCAGTCCAGCGCTTCGTGGCCACATACCCATAGGGCGCTCCGCCGAAGGCCCCCGTTTTCCCCCACCCGGTGCAGCGCGTCGAGGCCTCGATGGGGAGCTCCACGGAAGGCCCCAGTGGCAAAGTTCGCATGCATCTCCCCCGTGAAAATCAAATGAACGC